CACACCACACCACACACCACACACACACACACACAACACACACACACACACACACACACACACACACACACACACACCACACACACCACACCACACACACAACACACACACACACACACACACAACACACCCACACACACCACACACCACATCGGAATTTCTCTATTCAAAGTCTAGTAAAATTCTCACTCCATATTCTCCATGAACCGGTATCAGAATAATTGGATGTCATCGGTCAAACCTCTTTGTATTAGCCTCAAGGACGTGTCCTCATTTCCGTTACGACACCTACTACGTCCGTGCGTTTTTACATGTAGCTATTTCGTAGTCGACAAAAACCGATAAAACCTGCTTTATAGAAGTGCGAAATCGTCCGTGGAACTAAAGTTCTGGAATTTTCGTAATTCGGCAATAGATACCGAGAGAATATTTATCGCGTGGTCTCGAGGTAATTGCGTTTTGTCTCCAGGTATTTCCAATACCAGATGACGACAGAAACAACCGGGGTTTTTTGTGTTAGCGGCCCGGCATTGAGGACGGACAAAAGAGGCATGACCCGTCACCGGATAGGTTTGTGGGAAGACATGCCAATATCGTGACTGATGTGAACATAGATTTATGTTTGGGGTGGAAATCGGCAAAAAGTGTGGTTTTCATGAAACGGCATGAAGACAAAAGGCGGGTCCGTCGAATCAAGGGGGTTCGCCACACACACACACACACACACACACACACACACACACACACACCCACCCTGCGCTGATGGCCGAGTTGAGGTCTGTCGAGGTGGAGACCTTGGCCTTGACAGTCGTAATGTTCAGATTCATCAGGTAGTAGAAGTGGAGATGGAGGATGCTGCCATCTGTGGAGACATAATAGATAACACATGGTGAGGAACTAATCCATTACTAGCTCATTGCTGCTGCCCCCCCCCCTCCTCTTTTCATTACTCCTCCCAGTGAACGTCCCCCAGGGTTTACTTCACACTGCAGCGCATCGGAGACATAACAGGGTGTGGTCACGACGGCAGCTAGCAGCACTCGGGGGATAAATATACAATGCTGATGGTCAACCTTCACACTCCCCTCCCTGCAGTCACTGTGAACTCTGTGGCACTCTGTCATTCACTGAAACCAGCGCTGCTCTCTTTTCGCCTTTACTGCAGCAAATTGATTGCTGCAGCTGGCACCAGTGAAGAAAAAGGGGCTGGGGGAAGACACTAGAAACACACGCAGAGGTTAGAGAACGACCGGTGATGAGAAAATATGCTTACAGCATGTTGTAGGTGCTGCAGACCCAAAATGCTGCAAGCATCTCTCTCCCCTCTCTCCCTCCTTTAGGTAGAGTTA